AAGAATCACAGTGTGACTGAGTAATGCTATAGTGTTTTATAACGAGTACATGATAGTCAGTCAATACTATAACTTTTTCATACATTTCGTTCCCATGATAAATTTCGATTGAGAAAGACCAGATTTTCATTCCACTTCACAGGTTCTCATCAGCTGCAAACTACCTGAAATTACATTGGTTATAAATAATGACATTTCATACTTCAATGTTTGAAAGGTAATAAAGAAAACCTTATAAGATGAACACATTCAGAATATAAGTACTACAATTTTTAGTTTAAATTACTATCAATTTATATAGTGTCAAACTATGAAAAAAGAAGGGCGGGTTGAGAGAAGTCAGGAAACAGAAAAATCTAATAAACAGTGTTAGCTTGTGCGTCAAAATGGCAACTCAAGAAGGTCAAAGTCCATCAAATTGAAAACTTGCTTAGTGATCTGACCTCACTAGTGTGTATGACCAGTCAGTGTAATGAAAGTGATATGGTTACCAAGGGAGTGAGAGACTAATCACACTCTCTTTCTGTGTGCATGAGTTTGTTCTGAAACATTTGATTGCAATTGCTTCAGCAGATCGCAGTAAATTTACTGTCCTTTGTATGTTTAATATTTTGAAGGATTTGGAAATCTCGACAAAATGACCCATACCCACAAGGAATATGCTCTGAAAACCGGATAGAAGCCCTTCTTTCTGTCCTTCCAATGTACTTGCTGCCGCAGGTGCACGTAAACTTATAAATGCAGTTGGAGATTACATCAACAAGGTACTTATCCAGTTTTGATTGGCTTATAGAGTGTGTAGTGCTGTATAATGTCAACAGCTTAGCTGCAGAGAAGCATCTCCTTATTGCTCCTTTCATCCTCTAGTCAATCTTTTGTGATACTGCTTCTTCTTTGAATGGGAGACGAATAAACACTTTCTTCTTTTCAGCTGTTGGATACTTAGCTTTCTCGTCCTTTTCTTTTCTGTACATTAGGAAAAGTCCCTTTAAATGCCCGTTTTCCATAAGGCATTTTTAAACAAAGCTTAATTCTTCTTCTACCTTGTTAGGCGAACATAACTTCCTGGCTCTGTAGTGCAGTGTCCTTACTAATCCCCACTCATAACTTTTACGGCAGATGGTGGTGCCTTAAACTAAATATTTTCTTTATTACCTTTCAAACACTGAAGTATGAAATGTCATTATTTATAATCACTGTAATTTCAGGTAGTTTGCAGCTGATGAGAACCTGTGAAGTAAAATGATATGATTTTATACTGCAAATTTGGTATTTTTTTCCTCCAAAGCGCTTTATTTCACTTTACATTCTAAGAAACAATTACATGCTACACCCTCAAAATCTAAAACCGGCGATATGTTGAGTCACAAATAAAATACAGGTAAGTTTCAATTTAACTTACTGGTGCCACTATCGAAACGAGATGAACTGAAGCAAAAATTTAGATTCTGACCACCCTAAGATTCGAACCAACGGCTTTCAGGTTACCGGTTCATTGAATTATCATCAGAGTTATAAGATTCAGCTACTAGTTAGGTTTCATTTTCGTCCCAGCTATCCATCTGTTTCAGATGACAAGTGAATGCTCAATATTCAACTCTCTCTTTCATTAAAAGAACATAATTTCAAGTCATTTCAACAGTAACTGATAGCATGAATTAGTTCTCTTATCTACTTCAGTACAACTGTATCCAGAATAAGACGTGGTAAGACACGTAGTGTAATTGAACATAACAAACAGTTGACTATCACTCTGAGGGAAGTGGATATATGAAACAGAAAGCAGCTGCAACTAGTTGTAAGCCTGTAGGCTAGCGGCCCTTCGGTAACATGCTCAAATCCTGAAGTAACCTAGGCTTTTCACGAATCTAATCCTTGTAAAATGTATTCTTCTATAGGTGCTTGAATTGCAAATAAGAATTATATGTAATGATAATAATGCGATTATGAATTCAGATAGGTCAAACTTCACAGTTTGTGCATAATCTGAATTTATAATTTTTTCACACCTACTGTAATATCCACCGGGAAAGACAATAATTTAAAAATCAATCGAACTTCATGGTGTTAAATAGAAATTCACAAAAATAATAATAGCCTAGCGAAAGCCACACATTTATCTTTAAAACAAAATATATTCACTTTCTGTCGAAAATAATCCTTTGAAATTAACATATATTCACAAACTTCGCAAAAATTCTTCAGAAAACATAAACAAAATCGAATGTATTTTAGAAACAGTAGGTTCAGTATTCTTGACTGAGATGGCTTGTAAACAGTCAGCGAATATGTGCACTCGTAACAATGCCTTGTTAGACAGATTATTGAAGAAGTGGAGAATATTACCAAATGATAATAAGCATATTTTATAGAACATATCGCCTAAACTTGAACTGTGTTGGCCAAAAGCCTCATTGACGTTACTGTCATCTATTTAAAAACTGCTGTAGAAATGAAATAACTGATATATATATATATTTATCCTGCTTCTACCTCGAAATATGTTGGCTTTTTCGCTTAAATTAGCGACATATAAGGTGTACAGTGTATTGTTCTGAAAAGCAAAAGCCACTACAACTAAATGCCTAAAAGATATTTGAGAAATTTACCTATTAAAGATTTTATCAATTTAGTCCGATGGAAAAACAGAGAATGGAAATCACTATACTACTGAACGTTACTGTATACTGGTTTCCTCATATCAAATAGAAGGTAATAGAAAGAGGATAGAGAAATAGAATTAATGTAATGAAATGCCATTAGATGATAAAAGAGGAAAACAAAAACCGAACTAATGGTTACTGTGTTTTAATTGGGAGCAAATTAAAGCGTAAATGTGGCTCCAGTCAATTCCTAACTGCATAGCTAACACTTGGTTTCGATTATCTTGTGTATTTCATCCATGTCACTTACATTTCTGCATAGGATTTAGTCGGTGACGCAGCGGTTAGGACGCTCGCCAACCATTCGCATGGTCCGGAGTTCGATCCCCGGCCGACGTACACCTGATGTCAATGGTTGGCCAGCTAAATTTGGGCTAATGATATCACATGCTGAAAATTCCATAGTTACTGTGTGGAATCAAGTCATAACAAAATTTTAAAAAAGTAAATAAATAATTGGCATTCGCTCTTTATCCCCTATAAAATCACCCGTTTCCAGAAAATAGTGAAAACCACAAATCTATAAAACCGAGCTAGTTATAGAAGTAAGCGAAGTGGTCGACACTCTCGACTATGGCCAAAGTGTAACGACACAGATCAGTAATGGACTTTCAGCTTGCAGTTGTTGGGTGCAATCAGTATACCAAACACTCAAAGAATGAATGTCTACCTAGTACATCCACGGCTAGTTCTGAAACCAATCTGGATACCATATTCCTTAGATTCTATTGGATGTTGATTGCTTATGGCCCCTTGGATTTTAGAGACCATACTGATCAAGCTAATTCATTTGTGGTTATCATAGGAAGTGCTCCTCTCCATTAAGACTTGGGCAACAAACAATTGTAACCAGTTGGTGGGAATCACATCTGATTCCAGTACCACAACTAAAATCTCAGTCAGTTTAACTCATTAACTAAACCTGTCGTCTATGATTACCCATGAAAGTGCCTATCCAGACCCTGTTACTCCTCTTCGCTTAAGATCACATATATCTCAGGAAGTACTAAGTGTCCCATGTTATTATCTCATCCGTGATGCTAATGAAGGGTGACTGGCTTAAAATGTACCTACTGATTCATTCTTGTCAGTAATAGTTTTGTTAAATCCAACGTTGGTCAATTTTGCGCAAAGTAGCTGCGTTAGAAGTTCCTACACACAGTTCGGAATTGAAATGTTATAGACCACCCATTAAAATGAATCCTTTTTCTTTTCCTATATGAAACAAAAAATGACTGGTAACTTCATCTTTGTCTTCTGGAGGTTGACCACACCCAATCTATATGAAAGTGTTTGAATTTGTGTACAACACTGGATACGCACTGCTGCAGGACAAGTACAGATATATAATTTTCAAGGCCTAAATTTTCAAACTCCTCAGGAAAGTATTGTACCTGTCTTGGTAGCGAAATTAGAGGAAGTCTTCCGCCTAATAACCCCATCACAGTGTAAAAAACTTACAATACAGAGGTTAAGTCTCTGCCGTGGTATCACTTCATTGAACAGTTGTTCCAGCTATAGTAGCTAGTACAGGCATTGTGATACTAACTAACTACGAATTCAGGTTTCAACTGAAGACCCTCAAAACTTAGAAAACTTGGGTTAGCAAAAAATTATATGAAAGACGTTTAAAGCAAACGATAATCGGCAGACATAAGGACCTAGAAACCGTTCACAAGTCGATCAGGAACTCAACAAAGTGTTTGAGCTTATCAGGTGGAGAATCAAATCAACCACAACCGTGTTAACTCCTGATATTGGCTTATGCTGATTAGTATTAATACTGATAAGTTCGTCATGCCTTTCATAAAAGCCGACAAAACAAATTCTGATAGCCCTCACTCAGTGAAAATTGGTAGGTATCATGTGTGTAAATGCACTCTTATGTCAGTTTTTGGATAAGTGCACTATCACATGAACCTCAGCATTACCTATGTCATTATTCCATTTTCTAATCCAATATACTTTTTTAGTGGTAACTAGCAATGGAATTCACACTGCATATTTTTTCTTTCTCGATAATTGTTGGTTAAAAGAATTTATATTCCAGTGAAGGCTGGTGTTCTTGCTAACGCTAAATACTACCACTCACTGTCTTAACAACCGTAACATTATCTGTTATACTACTGAGCAACACAACGGCATAATGAGTTGTTGCTTTTCTTATACTTATCTGCTACGTACCAAGTAAAATGATTATTTGAAAAGCATTATGTTTTTGGGTCCAATATCACTAACATATCTTGTTTAAATAACAGTTTTATATTTTTGGTCTAATTATCTAAATAACTTAACTCTTCTAACATAATCTGCTTGTTTACTTCTTTCTCAAATTAGAATGTGACTGCAATCTTCATTCAAATGAATGCCGATTTTCAAATGCACTTTATTTGTTATCTAATCGTGTAAGTGGTGGTGTCTGCGAAAATTGTCAACATAACACAATCGGTCGCAATTGTCATCAATGTGCTGAAGGTTATTATCGGGATTGGACAAAACCAACAAGCCATGAACATGTCTGTCTGCGTAAGTCACAAAAAATAATACAGTTTCATATGTGCAAAATTAGCGATTGAATGTTAGAGAAAACTTGTTTTTCGCAGGACAAGACTTCTGAGTCCCTGGAAAAAGATTTTTATTTTCAGTTATTCGCGGCGTACATCTAAATATCACTCCATTGAGGCTAGTTTAATTAGTAACATTCCTTGAATCAAAAAGCACTACACTAAATATTCCCTGTGGACATTCAGACTGCAATTCGCTTGAGGGTAGTAAAATAGGTAGTTATTCAAATTACATGTTCTTCGGTTTCCGAGGAACAAATCGCCAATTGTGTTTGACTTTCACCACATAATATCTAATGTCACATAAACTCGAAGACTTCAGGCGAAAACCAACAAACTGGCTGAAGACGCAGCGAGAACAGGACTACAGGTGAACACAAAAAAGACGGAGGTGAAGAGGATAACCAACCAACAGCAACAACAACAACCAGCACCAATCACCATCAACGGGAGAGATGTAACAGAGGTTATCTCCTTCACTTATCTAGGGAGCCAGCATCATTTTAACTATAGGCAGTCAGAACGGATGAAGATGTCAAAGCCAGTCAGGATCAGAAAGGCAAGATACGCACGCATTCGTCAACCTGAAACCAGTTTGGAAATATTCTGCACTCAATATAAGGAACGACATTCAGATCCTATTCAACACCATTGTCACGTCGGTCCTTCTATACGGTTGAGAAAATTGGCTGGCATGTCACGAAAAGGATTTCCAACAGGTTTCAGACTTTCATCAACAGCTGCCCGCTTCGCTGGCTGACTCCATACTGAAGATCGAATGGCCAGCCAGAAAGAATAAGTAACAAGAAACTCTGGCTGAGAACAAACCAACCAAGAGCCGATCGCTCAACAAATATGTAGAAGAAAATGGAGATGGATTGATCGGGCATACATTGAGGAGGCCGCCGAATGACATTGCACGCAATGCAGGCCATTGATCGAGTGGAATCATAATGGGAAGCGATGAGTGGGTCGTCAGTGCGAGGGTGACATGGAGGAGATCGTGTTAGGAAGAGATGAAAGAGTTTGGTGAATTGTGGACCCAGCTGAAGAGGATGGCATAAAACAGAACAAAGTGGAGATGTGTTGTTGAAGCATAACAATAATAACAATAATAATAATAAATTGGTAATTACTGGCATAAATGTACATCTGACTGACTAGTGTCAAACAGAAGAAAATGTGCTTTCTAGTTTTAATACTCATACTAATAATGGCTTTATTCCAAAGAGTACCTTTGATACAATATGGAATTTTAATTGTTAACCACTCCTACATGTAATGACACTTGTTTATCCCTTCATTACTACTGCTTGAAAATGATAATCACTACTGACGGCTTTTCAACTAACTGTACGTTAATTAGGATCTATCCACCATACTCAATATGTAAAAATACTTTACTCATGTTTAGTTTCCATAATTTAAAAACATCATCTACATGTACATTCAGTATAAAAAAAAATTAAGACGAACTAAAATTCTGTTCAACTAGCATTAATTAATTTTAAGATTGGTCTACCAAATTTTTTATAATTTTGTTTCATTTTGTTTACGAGATGCGTACATAATAACCTTTTGAATTAACTAGTCCAGATGGCTGAAATTTTTGATCGATGTTTTTTTTCCTCTTTTATCATTAGACGTTTCTTTTATCAAGAGTATATATATACACATATATATCACAGCAGATGTGTTCACCGACTATAATAATTCTAACCACTGCATATTTTAAAACAAATTGGACATAGATCATCATAAAGTAATACACTGATTTGTGTACTCTCTTTTATCTAAAACTAAAACGTGCTTTTATGCACAATGTTATCTGTGTAATTAGAAAAGTTCTTTGAAACTGTTAGGATTAGGAATTTATACTAAGAATAATTATTAGTTATTTTCTCAGTAAAGAAGTGAGTTTAGTGATGTTTGGCATAAGCTGATTTGATTACTTAAGAGAGAGGATTGAATCTCTTTGTTGCTACATGATCGAATTTCCCCGGTGTAATACTGTAATTATGTCTCATCAGCATTTCAAGCTTATTTAAGCATTATTTATGCACACTGATGAGTTTGTGATTCCGTTACTTTCGACTCAGAGTTATTTGAAAATACACTGAACCATTTCATTATGTAACTTTGTTAGCATAATCAGATTCTAAGGATGGCAAACTATTTCGAAACTATTTGCCACTATGCAGAAAGTGGAACCATTTGTCCTATTCGCTCCATTCTCTTTTGCACAACCTCTGTGACTCTGGGTGATATCACTTGCTCAAAGTCTAAAATTAGATAGAGTTATTGTTTTTTTCCAAGGGCCGAGAGTTATAAGTTTTTCTATAAAAATGACTTTTCTAAGAGAATTGCACTGCTTGATAATTATCCTATCAAAATATCCAGCAAGGAAGCTATGAGCTTTCAGTTAAAACGAGGTTTACAGTGTTTTAAGACCATGAAAGTTAGTAGTTAATAGGTGACATTTTTCGCTTGAAAGAATCGTCTTTGAATGGACTTGGTCCACCTCGGTAAAATGATCTTCATACTTATAGAACCTGTAGAGGACCCTAAATTACATGGGAAGTAGGACTAACACAGCTAAATCACTATTTCGTTAGACTCCCAATTTAACCAGAAGTTTTGAAAGTAAGACAGAATTTTTCGATTAGTTCAGGTAAAATAACGACCCAATGGTAACTTACTTTAGGCTGGTAATCTGAAAGTCACTGGTGACAACCATCATATGAATCATACTCTTGGTCTACTTTAGAAACCATCCGTGGACATTTCACTTTGTTTATAATTTTAATTTGAGTAGACCGTTACTAGTTAATCATACATTTAAAGCATTTAAATCGTAAGATAAAGTTAATACAGTTTGAAGATACGTATTAATATACAGCTTATTGTAGCAGCATTTAATGGTAAATTTCTTTAAACTATGGATATTTTTATGGTTATATACGACTTTGATGTTTTAGCATACCTAGAGGGAAAAGAACAAGAAGTTCAGCAAAGATATCTTTTCGGAGATTTCATTTTCAAAAACTGTACAATTTCAATTAAATACATAAATTTACATAGATACAATAATTATTTAATTCCAACTAATTAAGGAGGCGAATAAAAGGTGACGATTGTTTTCAAACTGATATAGATTACGAAAAGCTTAGAAACAAAAATTACAGATGTGAACAAAATGAGCTCTGATACAAATTGGAGCAATAATATTCAACTTGAAATTGGAAGTTAGGGGGTGTGAGGATACATTACAAGAGCCTTAGAAACAAAAAAATTACCGAGAATTAGAATTTAATTGTAAAATAGTTATTCTAAAAGAATTACAAGTGTGAACAGGAGGAGCATGGAAACAAACTTAAAATAACTGATTTTATAACAGAAGAAAAAATAGGATGAATTGAGTGAAGACAAAGAGAGAAAAATACGCACACAGGAAACAAAACAAAAAACCGAAGGCTAAGGGAACATATCGAACTAGGTCCATGGTAGTTGTAGAGGCTGGACTAGTTTCTTTCGAACACACAGCTTTGGCTTCTTGATGTATATGGCGAGGACTTCTGAAGTACAAAGAAGTCGAAAATTCACTGCCTTTGGTAGATTTTTGTACTTTTTGTAAATGACTCTGAATGATGAGTCAGATGAGAACCTGTAACATGTCCTGAAGAGGTGTTCACTTATGGCGCTTCTGACTGAACCAGTGCCTCCTCTTTGCAGCGACGCTGGATGATGTTCCCTAACACGTTTTGATAAGACCCGCATAGAACGACCTATGTATGTAGTTCCACACGAGCAATTTGTTTCCATGCTCATTCTCTTCACACCATACGATTCGTTCTATTCCTGCGTAATTTTCGTTTCTAAGCCTCTCGTAATCCATATCAGTTTGAAAACAATCGTCACCTTTTATTCGCTTCCTTAATTAGTTGGAATTAAATAATTATTGTATCTATGTAAATTTATGTATTTAATTGAAATTGTACAGTTTTTGAAAATGAAATCTCCGAAAAGATATCTTTGCCGAACTTCTTGTTCTTTTCCCTCTGATTTCCCGATGGATGTTTTCAACGATTTTAGCATACTGTCGAAATATTTTCATAACTGTGTATTTATTTTCTATATACAGCATGTCGTTGTCATCCAATCGGATCTATAGTTCGTCATGACTGCGACAGAAGAAGTGGACAATGCCGATGCAAACAAGGTGTGGCTGGATTGTTATGTGATCGTTGTCAAGATGGTTATCACCAAACACGTTCACCACTTAACCCTTGTACAAAAGGTAGGTCATAAATTTGTTTGAAAATCTCGTTTTTCACTCTGTATCATTTTCACTCATTGATAGTTCCTAACATGTGCCCTGGAATAGTCTCCTGCTACATAAATGCTTTTTGAAACTGTTGTCTCCCATCTAGGCATTTTATGAACTTTTCTACGCCAAACTGTTTTAAATAGAAAATATTCAAAATTAAGAGAATATAGATTTTTGGTTAGAGGATTTAATCATGAGCTGACGTCGGTTAGAGAACCACTGGAAAACCAGCACGGAGTAGTGGACCGCTATTTCGTCTAGTCTTCATCAGTACGCATCCACCGGAGCTCGAACCCAGGACCTTCTGGTTGCAAGGCGAGCTCGTTGACCATCAAGCCACTGCTACCCGATCCAATGGCCGTGACCAGTAGGGTGCAGCAGGTTGAAGGCGAGGCAGTAACTCATCGAAGAAGACACTGCGAAGTGGTCGCGCTATGTCGTGAATTGGCAGAAGTGGGAATTTATGAGCCATTGGATTGGGTACCAGTGGCTTAATGGTCTAAGAGATCGTTGGCTTTGTACCCAGAAGGTCCTGGGTTCGAGCCCCGTTGATGCGTACTGATGAAGAGTCCAAAGCAGGGACGAAACAGCTGTCCAGCACTCCCAGGTTTTCCAATGGTTCTCTAACCGATGTCAGCTCATGATGAAATCCTCCAGACAATGAAACAAAATCCCTACAAAAACCAACACTTAGAAATATGGTTTTTGACTGTCCTGCGATTTTTAATCATCATTCAGCGAATACTGTGAATCCGCAGATCCTGGAATTCATGGGCCGTTGAATTCCGTCTCTGTGGCTGGACAGTCAGGGTGGTGGCCTTGTAACTTGAGTTTGGCCCTTTGCGGGTTCATGGGTGCATAGCGCCAAAATGTTTCAAACTAGAACAGTGGTTATCTAAGTAATGTTACCTCGAGATTTAACTTGAAAATATCCTGAAAAATATTTCTTCATGCTGAGTAGGTTTCTAAAACTCCAAATTTACAGCAAATATCATCCATGTAGTTAGCATGAAATTCACGGATCCTAGATATTCTCTGTAATAAAACAATGTAATTCAACGTATTATTAATACACCGATTATTGGGCGAAAAGTATTCTCAAAACAGTTGCAGAGGATGAAATTAGTCAGCTTAAAATGTTTTACAGCTTTGGACAAAACCTATGAGGTACCGATATGAACTTCATTGTGGTATGTCCACTGAAAATCAAATTTACTATCCACTAGTTTATTGTTATCAACTAAGCCACTGTTAATAGCCACTACACATTTAAATAGTATCATTTTTTATGAAAATTTTGACTGAAGTGATCAGTTTTCTGGATATATTAATTAGCATATCAGTCTCACTGGCACCTCATATATATAAATATATATATTCTACAATATGCTAGACACTCCCTTTGTTTCTATTTCTCTTCTGTTTCTCGATAACTATCACTCAGCATCAACCTTTCTTTTACTTGCTGTTTCAGCTACCTTTAATTCAAAACATTTATATTCCAATATAAACTGTTTTATAGCCATCAGTTTTATTGCAGTCCTCACTTGATTTGATTAAACACTACTGGAATCTTTCCATTGCTTATTTCCCTCGGTGTAATTCAGCATTCTCCAACTTCATCATTGCTCGTGAAAACAGATACCCTAACCGCCACCCAGAAGTCTTTCTATATGACTGGTTATTTCGCAGTTTTGTTTTCGTTAGCCAACGCACCTGACTTATTATCAAAAGATATACGTAGATTGCAGAATGTGATTTAGCAACTGTTAACATATTTATACACTTGCTAGTGAACCTCAATTATTGTTCAATGGCAATCGGTTTCACCTGATGCCCAGAACCTTAATAAACGGAGCAGGTTTTAAACTTACAACGGATTGTTTACAGATTTACTGTTCAGACTAATTAACTATAGATACATTAAAATTCAAAGCAACTTGTACCGATATTTCATCAAGAAATTGGTTATTTACACGATTATTGCACTTTTTTGGATTGTAAAATCAATTCAAAAGGTATAATAAGATTAACATGATTGTAAAGTATATGAAAATTTCAGAATCGCGGCTGATCAACTTAAGAAAGTAATTCCTGTTTCATAAATCTGTAAAATTGAATGCATCTGTGACATGGTGAGCATTTTTTCCCCTCTGATTTGAGTTCAAAAAACTACTTGACTTACATTAGTAGATTTACACTGACACAAAGTAACTGTTCTCAGGTTGATCAACTAAAGTAATTAGGTAGTTACTTGTTCATCAGATAACATGTTATAACATGGTACTTGAACAACAGTGCAAGTGATAAAATCTCATGGGAAAGATTATCTCGATAGAATCTCTTATTCACATAATGTAATATCAAAAGTAGAATGGTGATTTTGATTCGTAGGATTCGGTATATAATTTAACACGTAAAAATATTGCCTCTGACCATCTAACAAAGGGATATTAATTTAGACTTCATTCGAAAGATGAACACTGGTGTAGCAAAGCTTAACTCAAAAATATTGTATTCACGTTTGTAGTTAAATGAATGAACTTAGAAGGATTTTTTCTAAATGAACTATGTCATATTACTCAGCAAATTGGTTGTCTAATTCTGAATCCATGATTCCAAAATCACTGTGAAGGCTGATACTTCTGAGCTCTGTCCTTCAGAAGGTAATTGATTCACGCTGATAAACTTCCGCTAATCATTGACGAATTTACTCTCCAGCTCTCATCGTATTTTATAGGTATCGTAGTTTGACTTCCTAAAACCCTAGATTTTTTTGATTGTTCCAGTGTTTTATGTGTGGCTTCATTTTCTTCCTGCTTCGCCATTTACGTACGAATACATATAATTTATCCAACTTTTCATTTTCCATTTATCAGTTAGAAGCACATTTCATATAACATAATTTTCCTCAAATATTTATCTTTGCATCGTATCTACGCACACGCGTACACAAGAAAATCACTGGTTTTAAATTTCAAAAGTAACCCCACAAAGATTTAGATAGACACTGGATAGCTCTTCAAAATGTACTTAGATTTTGAGAATATATGTATTTAGCGAAGTCCCAAGTCTTCAACATACATTACAACAATCATCGTGAAGAGCTTCTCCTGCTTTTATGCCTATGGATACATTTCTCAGAATTCCACCACCTCGCTTCCTGTATTTCAATGTTCTTAAATTTAAAGTAACTGATGGCTTTAAAATTTCTGTTATTCCTACTACAGCGCTTAGCGATTTGTAAGGGAAGAAACTGTATCAATAAGTGTGACCATAAAAACTAAATCCCAACTACAATTTGACAGAAGCTAAAGGTTACGAGTAACGGTTAGTTGAATTCGTCAGTCGTTTATAATTATGAAGTACATTGTCTGCAGCCTTTAACTAACAGTGTTTCACATTTCAAGTAATTAATACCAAAACACACAAAATCTGCCTTCTTTGTGTAAGCAGATAGACATTAGGACAAACAGATTTCTACATTCTATCCTTTTCCACTTTTATGCCTTTCAAAAATTACACGCTGCATATCAGCCAGTTGGTCCACTTGCTGAAAATACATCACTTCGTTTTATACCTATTTTTGAGCCTTTCACTGAATTCGATCTTTGTGGAAAAGATTAGAGGCATAAACATGCAGCCCAGTTTTATTTGTTGTCTATTACGATGACAGGTGTTCAGTAACCCCCCCTCCGCCAATCATTTCCAATTTAGCTAAAAATAAAAGAGCTATCATATTTACACCTAAAAACTTAAATCACAAAAGGAACTCCACGTTTTCTTGTTGGTACAATTTAGGTAAATTGTTCTACATTGAGAAATGAATGTCTGGAGATTTCACCTGTAATAATTCCCTGATAAGACACAGGCATAACTTTGGGAAATCTCGTCTTGTCTTTGAAACTATGTGGACAAAGATCAAGCTGGTATTACGATAAATTACAGTCCAATTACTGGTGTTATAACTAACAACCTGACGAAAAGTTACAGAATTGCCTGATTTTATAAGAATAAGGCCTTATTTTTTCGCTGAAACTGAAATCTGTTTATCCATTGATAGCATATACCTCAGATACTGCTTTTAATTGTCAGCTTTGTTTAAATGTGTGAGTTTCATATCAGTAGTGATGAAGCTGATGAAGTATGTAGGTTCATACAGAATGAAGAATTAATTTACCATTTATCCCTAAGTAGTAACCTCCATACCTTACTACATCTGCATCTTAATATGAATTTAAAGGATGTAACTTCAGATGATTTTGATAGTGTTAGATTCTCTAAGCTGGATGTTTTATTCGTCACTTTAGGCAATAATAATAATAACAGCTAAAGAAAGCTGCAATGTCGAATCTTGTTGATATGTAATTCAAACGTTTCTTACCTATGAATCTCTTAAATTCCTTCAAAACTTCCTATTAAATTATGCATGTTATTGAAAATCTGAAATTTTTCACTTACATATATGTAGTTCTTGTGATATATGAGTCATCAGTAGTTAAAAAGGCGCTTGTATACTGAAATTTTTATTTCACATTGCACCGTTTAAGGGTTATATAGCCTTTCTAAATATCAAACTTGTCAAGCATATCAGTATTTTTGAATTTTTTCTGTAGGTGAGTGATTGTGTATCTCAAGAGTAACTATATGTATATATATATATGTATATATCATTTTTGAGAACTAAGAGTATTTCAAATAGGCTAGTCTGTATATACTAAATCCCTATCAATAACGGTTTCATATACACGCAGTTTTGCAAAGAAAAGAGCTTTCAAAAGCAAACGAAAAACATACCTCCACATAGGAAAAACAATATATTTATATATATATATATAATATTTCTTATCTAATCAAAACTTTACATAATCCGCACCTCACTGGTCTTCGCTAATATTTAAAAAAGTACCAGCGGAATTTCATCTTTGGTAAACTACATATATACTTCATATATACTTCTTGATGTCCAA